AGCAACAAGGCAACTGAATTTGGTATCAGAAGACTTAGATTTGAGTTTTAGTTTTACTGTGCCACTTCTGCCAATAATAAACATCACCAGAAAAGGGAAATGATAACATTCTCCAGTTGTTTTGAGTCATCCTTAAGAAAATTAGAGTGTTTGTTAAGAAAAGTCAGAGTAGTCAAAAGTAAAAGCTCTAAAGGAGAAGTGTTGGTTAGTATGAGAAGATGTCAGGTACCTTCTTTTCTAAAGCTAATTGCGGATGAAGATATTTATAGTATTTATTAAACAGAAACATACATGCAAACATGCTCTGTCCTGAGAGGCAGGATGCCTGGGTTTGAATCCCCATTCCACCAGAGGTATAGTCAACTCACTCCACATCCCTGTGCTCCAGGCTCCTTATCTTGTGTAAAATATTGGCCCCCATCCCAAAGGGACATTGTTAGGATTGATTGTAAAGTGTAATAGATCTTAGCTATTAAATCTATAAAAACAAACACTTGAGAGTAAAATATCCAATATTTTCAGAATAATTTAAAATATTCTCATGTGTAAATATACAACAGAATGCCACATTATGTAGTCATTCAAGATAATGATAAAATGTTATTTATCATATATTATTTATATATTAACATATTAATACATATTATTTATCATTTATCATATTAATGTCCACAGTTGTCACAAATACACATTTGTCTACTGATATTCTTTCTAGAATTTCCAGAGGTTTCACATTTTTCTATTGTTTCATTTTAACATAATTGCAAAATGCATCGAAAGAACATGGTGTTTGCGGCTCCTCCCATGAGAACAGTTGACTCAGAGCTGTAAACTTGTAATTTTCCTTAAAATAAAAGGAATGCTATGCATTGCAAGATATTACCTAATGTATACATGTGCCACCTATAATTTACTCCATAAATTACTATCATTTCTGATAAAAAAGGAACAGAATTCAAAATGAAGATATGACTGACTGTTAAAGACATGTACTTAGCTTAACTAATAAAAATGTCTGCCTTAAGCTTTATGCTCTTTTAAGAACTATCTATACAGGATCAAAGTGACAAGAGCAACTTGCAAGATTAAATAGGAACCTTAGGGGGCAGTGAATTTACTTTAATGGGGGAGGAACAACTCAGAAAAGGAGGGTGAGAACAGTTGCACAACTCAAAAAATGTAATCAATGTCACTGAATTGCACATGTAGACATGGTTGAATTGGTGTATGTTTTGCTGTACATACTCTCAACAACAACATGTGATTAACAGTCAGTAAATAAAACAAAGGACCCAATCATAGCACGGCAAAGAAATACAAGGCTCCTCAACTAGTAAGACCAAGTCTAACCAAGCTGAGTCTAAGGCTACTTCTTCTGCTTCTCAATTACTTCTTTCACTCCATGAGTATTTATTGAGAGCCTGCTTTGTGCCATACCAGGCACTGTTTCAGGGGCTTGGGATACTATGGTGGACAAGTAGAATTCCTGCCCTCATGAAACTTACATTCTAGTGTGGATAAAAGGCAAATGAACAATACATAAAATGTTGGATGCTGATAAATACTATGGAAAATAAGAAAAGCAGGGAAGGGGTCAAGAATGGAGTAGGGGACATGGGGAAGGACTTGCAATTTTAGATAAGTGGACAGGAAAGACCTCAACGAGAAGATAAGATTCTTGAGAAAGAAGGCAGGGAAAGAGTTCTGCAGATATCTGGGGAAAAGCTTTCCAAGAACAGAAAAGACAGTGCAAAGGCCCTGAGGCAGGAGTATACCAGACATGGCTGAGGAGCACCAAGGAGGCCATGTGGTTGGAGAAGATAAATTCAGACAGGTAGCAAAAAGCCAAGTTATGTGAGCTTCGCATCTCATGACTCACTCGAGAAATAGAATTTACATTTTATACTAAGGTAAACGTACAGACCTTTTGTTTAGGGAGTTGGCTGAAATGCTAAACTATATGGGTAGAGGAAGGTCACTCAAGAGACACAAATCACTGACCAAAGTAACAAACAGGAAGAAGGTATAAATCTTTGCAAGGCTGAGGGAAGTTCAGGAACCAGGGAAGCAGTCCAACACAATGTTCAGATTTATTTTACTTACTCTATGATGCTATTAGGTATTTGTGCTTTATTCTGAATCTTCCTGCTTCCTTTCCACCATATAAAATAAAAAATTTTTTAGTGAATGGTCTAGCAGGGGATGTCATCTAATTTGGGGCTCCAGTGTAGGGTTTCTCAATGGGCCAAGTAATTCATTAATGTGGGGGATGTTCTATGCATTGTAGGATGTTTAGCAGCCATCTCTGGCCTCTACCTACTAGATGCCAAGTAGCACTCTCTCCCCCTGATTTGTGACAACCCAAAATGTCTCCAAACATTGCCAAATGTTGCAGCACGAGTGAGTAGGGTAAACAAAATAGCCCCCAGTTGAGAACTACTGTTCTGATGTGAAAAGATAAAAATTCTTTTCCTCAGTTTAACACATTAGTTTTTTTGTTTGCATGTTTGTTTGTTTAACCAATGGGTTAATCTTAAAGCACGTACCTCTTCCTACCTTCTAAATATACCCAAAGCCAAGTGCCACATACTTATACTTTAGAAAGAACGAAACTGCAGGAGGAATGGGGAAAGGTGAGCTGTGTGAAGCATGTGCACTAATTTAGTCCATTGTCTTTACATCATTCACAAACATTTACAAATGATCTCTACTTTGGGGCTAAATATTTGTTCATTCATTCTTTCATTAATTCACCCATCCAAACATGTCCACATTTATCCACCCGAAAGAAATTTTTATCTGGGCAAGCCCTGTGACTGCTTTGGCTAATAGAATACAGCAGAAGTAAGTGATGCTTGGCCAGTTCCAGGGATAGCCCTTAAGTGGCCTGGCAGCTTCATCTCCTGCTTCTCAGAGTCCTGTGCTGCCATGTAACAAGTCCGGGCTACTTTGCTGAAAAGGGTATCTGAAGCATGAAAACCCACTGCTGTCAAGTCAATTCTGATTATAGTGATCCTACAGGACAGAGTAGAACTGCCCCATAGTGTTTCCAGGGAGAGGCTGGTGGATTCAAACTGCTAACCTTTGGTTAGCAGCCATAGCTTTTAACCACTGTGCCACCAGGGCTCCATCTGAGGCACCAGTTATGTGAATAAAGAGGCCATCTTGGACACCCAGCCCAGTAGAACCTTCAGATGACTCCAGGTCCAGCTGACTTCTAACTACAGCTGCCTGAGAGACATCAAGCAAGAACTGCCCAGCTCAGCCCAGTCAACCCCAGAACCACAAGAGAGACTAATACACTGTTGTTTTAAGCCACTAAGGGTTGGGGTGGAGCCCTGGTGGTGCAGTGGTTAAGAGCTTGGCTGCTAACCAAGTGGTAGGCAGTTCAAATCCACCAGCTGCTCCTTGGAAACCCTATGAGGCAGTTCTACTCTGTCCTATAAGGTCACTATGAGTCAGAATCAACTCGACGGCAACAGGTTTGGTTTGGTTTTTAAGGGTTGGGGTGGTTTGTTGCAGAGCAGTAACCAGAACAGTCCCTGATTTCAAAAAGCATACATTCTACAAATACTTACATGTGTTCCCAATTATTTCCTACTGACACATAAGCTGACTGACATTCATATGTGGCCTATCAAAAGTTATATGCAACTCTCAGTTCTAGCTGTAACTCCACTTGGCTTCTTTCACTGAAGAATTATTTTAAAAAGGCCTCTTACCCCCAAAACTCCACCTTTCACCCCACTCTCTGCTCCTCTTGGCTTCAGTGTTAAGGCCCTGGGATGCCTTTCCCTGATCCCCAGGATGTCACATAATCCCATTACATACTTCCACAGCATTTGTACTCTTTCTTTGTAGCAACTATTACAATTGCAATTAAGTCATTATTTTTGGAATCATTGTTGCTGTCCCCTCCATTTCAACAGGAACCATATTTATCTTGTTGACTCATATATCCCCAGGACATTAAAAGAACGATTGTGGACTCAGATTTATATAAAAAGCATATCATTGGTCAACTGTGGCACTTTATCACTAATAACAAATTATTATGCACCTCACAATCAAAGCACAATGATACAGACCATGACTTTAAAGATAAAGCCCGTAAGGCAAAATCTTGACTGTGAATATTTTATTTCAAGTATTCTCTTGTATCTTTTGTTAGCAATAAAAACTATGAAAAGACTGTAATGGTGGCAAAAGGAATAATAAGGTCTTGTTCATGAGATTGCAATGAATGAGCCAAGGAGCAAAATGGAAGTTTCTGGGTTTTTTTTTTTTTTTTTAACTCCTTTTAAGTACTTATTTTAATACTACTTATTCTATTCATTACATAGTATGTTATACTGCTTGCTCTTTTTATGTCTAATTCCTCAAATGTATTTAAATTCCTCAAAGTGATTCATATTCTGGGGTCCACAGATGAGTATAAGTGTCTGAAATTAAAAACCAAACCTGTTGCCATTGAGACAATTCTGACTCATGGAGAACCCATGAGCATCAAGTAAGATAAGGTTTTTTGGCTGATTTTTTGGAAGTATATCATCAGGTCTTTTTTCCTTGGTGCCACTGGGTGGATTTGAACCACCAACCTTTAGGTTAGTAGTCAAGTGCAAACTATTTGTGCCGCCTGTCTGAGGGACCCTTGAAATTGTATGTAAAGATCTAGGAACACTCCAGGAACAGGGTCCAGAGCTTTTATATAATTCTCAAAGCCATCAGTTTAAGACCTATCAATCTTTAATTTTATCCCTTCTAGGGATAGTCCCGGAGCCCTAGTGGCACAGTAGTTAAAAGCTCAGCTGCTAACCAAAAGGTCAGCAGTTCAAATCCACCAGCTGTTTCTTAGAAACCCTGTGGGGCAGTTCTACTCTGTCCTATAAGGTCACTATGAGTGAGAATCAACTCAAAGGCAACAGGTTTGGTTTGGTTTTAGGGACAGTCCCATTGTCTTTGGTCCATCTCTTAGGAAGAAAAAAATAAATGTTTATTACCGATTTCCTCTCCTGCTTCAGTTCTTGGACATAGCGTGCTAACTCCACCATGATCTGTGAGGTCATGTTCTCGGAGATAACTTCATGCTGTCCAGCATAGTCGTTCATTTCATTCAGGGTGGAAAGGAAAGCTTTACATGATGTATACCTATGACACAGAATACACATCACTTGTTTTCAAACAAGGCCACACCCATTCTAATGCTGCTTTTCTCTGATGATACATTAATTAAAATCAAGTTAATCTGCCTTGACCTCCCATAGGATCCTGACAATTTATTACACATATAGTGTTCTCACCAAAATAGTTCAGAGTTAATTACAACTGAAATACTTTTCATTTTGTAAAACTGATTTGTTCTATGTAATGCAAGTATTTGGCTTTGTTATACTTAGTCTAAGTATAATCCAAAATATATACATACACTATTTGTACTAATGTACTGAATATTTAGATCTACATTATACATATAATTCTTTTGGGCTGTCCATGTTAAGATGCCTTAATTGCTGGCTGAAATTGACATATTTCTGGGATAAGTGGTAGTATGATAGGTTTTGACATAACAGAATCAAATCAAGTCTCTAGAATACAGAATCCACACTTTCTGTATTTGTTCAGATTATATTTTAAACTTTTCCTAATTACTTTAATTGAAACCATCTGGAGTAGATCTAATGGTTCTGTATAAGAAAAGTTAATTAAGTATGCTTCTATTGTTCTCTCCCCCAACTCAAAAGCTGACACAAATATGAATAGTAAGTGCAACTTAATAGATGGATATTTCTCCTTCTCCTTCATAATCATCACCAGTGGCATGTAGATATTACCCAATAATTATCAATGATAAACATACTTGTATTCTTCTTCCTCCTTTGAGTTCTTTTTAGGTTGGTATTTCTTTGAAAGATTCCTAAAATAAAAATGCAGACGTGTCACTTTATACAGGAAGATAACTGAGATATCAGTAATAAAAGATGAAGTTACTGCTTTTGTTTACAGGTTTTAGTCACAAAATGTCCACATCTGAAATCCGTTTATTTCCTACCATCTCTCAACATGTGTGGTGCAGCTCCTGTTATTAAGGACTCACACAGCTTTTAATTTCTCACTTCAAAGGTAGAGAAAAATAAGAATAGAAAAGGTTGCTAGCTCATCACCTAACTGGATGTTAAGACCTCACTTTACTTGACTGGAGAGTACAGACCATGTGTAAATAAGCAATGGTTCTCAACTGTAGCATTGAGCTTGGGCAGCATTTCTTACTAAGCCACCACACCCTCATGGTCATCCCCAGTCTGGCATTACTGTCCCAAACCCAAGGAAAACATGGACTGTTATCCAAATATTTAAATTAAAAAATCAAAGTGCTAGGGCATGTTTTCAAGGCGGTGTGGCTGCAGCCTCAAAGAGCTAATGAAAACCTATGAATAAGCCTTCTCAAAAGAAATTGAGACAATATTTTGTGCTAAGACACTTTAACTAGGAAAACTGGTAACCTGCCTAGCAGGTTTGCACAGAATGCTCTCAGATTAACCAAAGTCACCCTATTCTTCCTAATCCTATCTCTAGGTCAGTAATATAAATACTGCATTTAGCATGCTTAAATTTACACAAAAACTAAGAGGTAATTATGAAAAAAGAAAGCTCACTAACATTGGTTCTACTAGCTGATTTTTTATGGATCCTGACTTTAAGCCACCTGTAGTTAGAGAGGAAATCCTGGTGGCATAGTGGTTAAGAGCTACAGCTGCTAACCAAAAGGTCGGCAGTTCGAATACACCAGGCGCTCCTTGGAAACTCACTGGGGCAGTTCTACTCTGTCCTATAGGGTCACTATGAGTTGGAACTGACTCAATGGCAACAGGTGTGATAGATAGTTAGAGAGATGGCCTTAGGATGGTGACTAATGTTCCACAATGGGCTTCTCATCTGTCAGCATCTTAGCATTCACTTCCTTGTTTATTCCATGTTGCTATTTCCTCTTTTATAATAGCTATCCTTACTATTTCACATTTTACTTTTATTTATTCCATTATCTCCAAACCTACAGATTTGCCTAGAAAAACATGCAAAAATAAGTTTATGATTTTGACCATAGTACATTTTACAAAGAGGCGAAATTCATCCCTAACAATCTTTACTAGATGACATGAGAAACAGAGTTTAGCAAAAAGGAAATTGCTATGGTAATCAAGAGACCCTATGCATGGATGGCATAACCTCAGACAAATCAATGAACATGAGTGTGCTTCCATTTCCTCATCTGTAAGATGGAGGGGGTTGGACAAAATGACCTCTATTTTCTCTTCTAGTTTTAAAATTCTGAAGGAATATATGACATCCTATAGAACATCAATTGTTGTGATTATTCGTAAAATGAAGGCATGACAAATGAATGTATAAACAATTGAAGTGGTATTATAATTAGACCAACTGATAAAAGAATGTACTTACTTGAAAGTTGCTATCAAGTGAGCATACATTCAACAAATACATAAACTACAGCATGTTTTCTCTACTGATACTGTGGACACATAGAAAAGTTTATCCAGTAAGTCTAGATCCAAAAGGATGGGAAGAAGGAATATTTCCTTAAAGAATGTGCCTTATATAAAAAATAATTCAAAAAAGAAATATTCCATGTTGAAAGCACAGCACAGTCCTTTAAGTTGGTTTATCACAACCATTCCTTTAAAGGTAGATTGAGTAAAATCACCACAACAAGTATCAAGAATGAAAAGAAGCAGATGACTATATAATCAATATTCTTTTCCATATATGTTTAGATTAGCATATACAGGGGACTGGAGTATTGGAAAAGACTAGTGGCTGCATGTGAGATATTTTTAGCACATAGTTTTAAATATTAACCATATCTTCTATTAACTATGTGATAAATTAAAAATACCACTTCTAAATTCACATCTTACATAAAGTCTTTAAAAACTGTTATTTTAAAATTTCATTTAAATTCACTTTTTTTTAAGCTTCCAGTTCTTATCAGCCGTAAAAGTAATTTAAATGTCACAACTAGTTTAAAGAAACAGCTTGAATTAATCCAGGTAAAACCAACACTCTTGACAGTCCCTTTTTATCGGTCAAATCCTAAACGGGAGTAAAGACCTGTTGTGGGTAATATTGTGTTAAGACCTTCAAGTTCTGATGAATGAGTATCACTTTGACAACGTTAGCATATATAGCACTGAAAATGTTCCTTTAAAAGCACTAATGAATAATTCACTCTATAAACACCAGCCGAAAACTAAAAGCCTAAGGGGTCTAGAAGTGAATTTCAGGTCTCAGATCAACTTTCCACTTCCATTCTCTGGAGACAGGCTTTCTTGCTTTTATTTGTATTAGGTTATTAAAAGACAAGCAAGCAAATCAGCCACACACACACAAAAAATCTTCAAATTTATGGGATCTTTGAGAAATTATAAGTGTTTTACATGCTTAACTTGCTCTTCAGATAGACTAATTAAAAATGTAAGAGAAAAAGATACATCCTTTAATAAGGATGCTGGGTTAAGATCTGGTTGATCAGTAAGAACCACAGGGGCACTTTTGAAAATGAGATACTTGGGCCTCATTCCAGACCCTCTGGAAATAGAAAGTTCAGGGTTGGGCTCAGGAATCTTTTGTTTTATCTTTCTTTCTTTTGTTTTTCAAAAGCTCACTGCAAGATTTCCAGATACAGGTGGCAGAATAAAATTGCATCAGAGAATCGTGCTTTCCCAGTAACTAAAGGTGAAAAACAAAAGCCAGGAAATGTTTCAATTGCAGAAGATAAACAAACAAAGAAAGGCACATAACCTCAGGCCACAAACTTTCAAAGTGGTGCTGAGGTGAGGGACAGAAAGAAGATTCTGGGACAGCTTAGAATGGATGCTAACCCCACCCTCACCACCAAAGGAGGGAAATAAATCCACAACACCGTGAAAATCAACTTAGACAGAAGTGGAGAGGCAAGTAAACACTCAGGGAATAGTGACCGAAAAACTTCGAGAGGAAACGCCCATCCTGACCAGATTCCCAGGACTTGGAAGGGAGCAGGGGCTGCCTCCCGCCCCCAATTCTCCTCTTTCCAGGGCTCCAAGCTGAGTACATGGGAGGAATCGCCCCAAACCTAGGAATCCCGCAGGTGCAGGATACACCTTTGACCCACTGGAGAATGGCTAACAAAGTTTCAGAAGAGAGAACAGCTTAGGGTCTCAAACAAAGACAACATGCACAAAACGAGGCCTTTTCCCACCCCCACCCCATACCGTCTGTCCTCAGGTTTCTGCAAACTGGGCGGAAACATACAATACTGCAGCCTCAGATGGAGCTGAGAGGGAAAGACCAACAAATACTAGAAAAGAAAGGAAGCATGGGAGGAAACCATCACCAACAGGCTATCAGAGCAAATAGGAGCACTTGTGTTTCTTACATTACTAAGAAAAACATGCCAGGCATCAGCCTCAGAACTTTTCATGTTTTATCCAGGGCTTTGAACCAGTTCATTCCGGTTTCTGCCCCTGCTGAGAATCTGCATTTCTACCCCAGATATACCGAATCAGAATTTACATTTTAACAAGATCTCCAGGTAATTCTTAAAACGAAAAATCAAACCAGTTGCTGTGGAGTCAATTCAGACTCACAGTGACTCTACAGAACAGAGTAGAACTGCCCCATAGGGTTCCCAAGGGGATTCGAACTGTCGACCTTTTGGTTAACAGCAGAGCTCTTAACCACTGTGCCAGTAGGGCTCCTAAGTGATTTCTTACGTATAATAAGTTTTGAGAACCACCGCTCTACTAGTGGTTCTCAGAACTGATCCCTAACCAGCAGCATTAGCATTGCTTGGGAACTTGTTAGAAATGCAAATTCTCAGCAGGGGTACAAACCTGAAGACCCCGGTTCAAAGTCCTGGTTTTATCTCTCAACAACACTGTGAGGTAGGAATTACTACTATTATTCACACTTTACAGATAGAAAAAAAAAATGAAGCACAGAGAGTAATTTGCCCAAAATTACACTGTTAACAAATGGTAGAATCAGGATTTCATCCCAGGCATCTGGAATTTTGTCTGAACTCTTAACCACTTCACTGAAACAGAAAAACAAACCCATGACCATCGAGTCAATTCCAACTCATGGTGACCCCATGTGTGCAGAGTAAAACTGCTCCATAGGATTTTCTTGACTGTAATCTTTACGGAAGCGCATCACCAGGCCTTTCTTCCACAGCACCACTGGGCGGGTCCAAACCACCAACCTTTCAGTTAGTAGCTAAGTGCACACTGCACCACTCAGAGTTCTCTATTCCTTCACTAAACTGCCCTTATTAAACATAAGCAAGGTGAAATGACATGCAGATACTGAAGAGAAGAAAGAAAACAACAAAGAAAAACCCAATCTGGAAGAAACATACGAGTAAAAGAAGCTGCATGATATACATAAAGTAATTTGGATTTTGTTCCTGGTTCATGAGAGATAATCTCTAAAAAGCAACAACAATAACAAAAACCTTGGAATTTAAATGTCTTCAGTAAGGACTTCAGACCACACCTAACCAATAGGTTAGGTGAGGTGATGAGGTAACTCTAGGGTGAGGGCTGGTCAGGCCAGAAAGACCACCTTGTGATATCAGCTGATCTCAAGGGAGAGGACCTGGAGTTTGTGTTCCATAATGAGACCCCCGATAAAAGCTCTGAACACAAAAGTTCCATGGGCTTCCTGGTTGATGAAAGATACCCAGTCACATGAGAGGGTAGTGTGTCCCTTTTTGGGACATGGAAGTTCTGCACTGTGAACCCTCTGAGACTTGCGTTATGTGTCTCTTCCTTTGTATCCTTTTTTCCCTACAATACAATTGTGATCGTAAGTACAGCACTTTTCGTGAGTTCTTTGAGTTGTTTCAGTGAAGTT